TTACTATTCCCATTTCAATTATTTTATTACTGTGTTTTACTTAAAATTTTGTATCTATTATAGTATATATATATATATATATATATATATATTATCTTTATTCTTTACCAAAAATAAAATGTTTATCTTTATCTTATTTTTTGAACCAATAAAAGTAAAGAAGTTAAGAGCATATTTTTTTATAACACTTTCTTCTATTCGATTTGCTTCTTTTTGTATATATTCAATTTATTTTATTTTGTATTATAGAACTTTTTTTTACAAAAACTAATATATTAATAATTTTCATAAGTTATTAATAAAAAAAATTGATTCAATCAAGAAACCAATCAAATCAAACCAAATAATTTAATTGGTTAATTAATTAATTATCACAATATATATTAATTTTATCATATATATATATATTATAAATAATAAAATTAATCTATATCTATATAAATTAACATCTAAGGAAGGTTTAATAGGAAATTTTTTTTCTTATATTCAAAAATCATAATTTCTGATAATTACAAATATCGAGAATCATATAAATAACTAAATTCTACCCGGTTACTCATAAATGTTCTTAAAAGTATTTAAAATGTTATTAAATTATTTTATTTTACTTGTTTCATTTAAATTAAAGAAATGAAGTTGTTGCTGCACATAATTTGTCACACATAAAATCAACTATGGTATTTATTTCTTAAAAGAGAGAATTTTGCACACCCTTGATTCAAAACTGATCAATTATTATTGTCATGGATTTTTTTGTTTTTGAACCTGTGCAGTAGTCTCTTGAGCCTAATTAGTTTTTGTTCTGCTTCTGCTTCCATCTTCAGATCACATTGACAGTGACGCCAAATGCAGGGACAGCCAGGGCATTGATTACTCGTCATGCAAGGTACATTCAAGTCGATTTTGCCTTTTCGATCTTCTTCACCTTCGCACTGCAAAACTGAAAACTTTTTTTTTTTTCTCACAACTTTTTATCACTGATCAACCCTATACATGTAAATAATGTTTTATAAACAAAAGAAGATGAATGCTCGTAAAAAGAAAAAGAAAAAAAAAATCACTAGTATTCCTCATAAAAGAATTATAGGAAGCTTCTGCAAAGAAACAAGAAATTACTTACCTGAAACAAATAGCAGGAGGACAACAAAGAAACCTAGCTTAACCAAAGACTTGTCCATCATGTTTTGTTGGATTGTGACGATGTCTTCTACTTGGCCTGGACATTAATTTATAGTCGAAGCTAGTTGGTATAATTTGTGACAATTCATTTGAATGCAACTTCACTTTATTGGATACACTCATGATAATAAATTGGATTATAATTAATGATTGTAATTACTAGCTACCTCGCTCTCTCTATTTTTTTTTAGTGTCATTGAGTTTTCTTTTTAAAACAAAAAATGTATTGACTTTTCTTATTTTTCATAAATTAATTTTTACTATAATAAAATTGTTGTAAATATGTAAAATGATAAAATTAAGTAGAAAATAATATAAGGGTATAATTGACAAAATTATTACTAATATAATATTGAATTTTAAAAACACATATATTTTGTTAATATGTTGATTTTTGTATAATATATTGTTATATTTTACTATCGGTTGTTTAACATTTAGCTTTTTCTAGTTTTGAAATGTTATTCCTTGGTACAGGACATGAAACTTTTCATTTTCCAATTATGCATACTGCTTTGTTGGAAAAAAAATCCAATTTCTTTTAATTGAATACCATTTAAGTATATAAAAAAAATTGAATATCTCTCTGTCCATGCATACTCTTAGAAGAAGATCTTTCATAACCTTAAAAAAAAAATCTTAATTAAATATTACTGTGTTGATGCATACTCTTATCAGAAGATTTTTTACAAGTTAGAAATAATCTTAATTTAGTACCATCGGATTTCATTCTCCTCTTTAAATTTTTTTTAATGGTCTTAATTAAATACCATCTTATTTTATTAATTTTTTTTAAAAAAAATCTTAATTAACACTAAACTTTTTTCTAATATTATTATAATTTAAAGTCTTAATTTAATATCATAATTTTTTATATATAAAAAATGCTTTTTTAAAATCTTTAAAGATTCTAAATTGTCAATATAAAAGAAAACATCAAATTTCATTGTCCTCTTTATTTTTTTTTTAATTGCCTTAATTAAATATCATCTTATTTTATTGCTCTTTTTTAAAAAATCCTAATTAGCACTAGACTTTTTTTAAAAAGTATTATTAATTTAATGTCTTAATTTAATATCACAATTTTTATATAAAATGCCTTTTAAAATCTTTCAAAATTCCATATTGGTCGATATAACAAAAGAATAAACAACAAAAAAAATGGGTCAAACCAATGAACGATATGTTTATTCTTATATTCTTTTACTTATTTAATTTTTTATATAATAATAATATAAAACAATTTACAATATATTATTTCCTCCACAAACTCTCTCCAAAACTTTTCTTTATAAATCTTATTATAAAAATAAAATAAAATAATACAGAAATTTAAAACGTTATATAATCAACTTATAAAAAAAATATAATCTATATTAATAAATACTACTTTTTTACATATAAAACCGATATTTAATTATGTTGATGTTTTGCACATATAACACAAATATTTTAAACTTGCATCCTTGATTGTATTTTTCTGAATTCTCGATTCCTTGCATTTGCACGTATAAAACATAATAACTAATAGCTTTAAAATTCAAATAAAAATATTAATGTATATATAAAGTAAAATAAAAATTCAAATATAAACATAATTCCTTACATTTGCAGAACATTATTAAATTTGTTCTGCAATATATTCTTCCCTAAAAAAAAAATTAAAATGAAATTTTTGTTTAAATTTGTTTGTCATTCCAACTGTTAACAATAAAAAAAATAAAATTATTAAATTTGAGAATATCATTAATCATATATATCACATGTCATTAAATTTATTTATTCCCTCAAAAAAATTTCAAAATAAAAATGTTGTTTATCTTTCCAACTTTTAACAATAAAAAATTAAAATTATTAAATTTGAAAATATCATTAAATTTATTTATTCACTCTAAAAATTTTCTAAATAAAACTTTTGTTTAAAATTGTTTGTCTTTCCAACTTTTAACAATAAAAAATTAAAAATATTGAATTGAGAATATCATTAATCGTATGGGTTACATGTGCGTATGCGTGAATGTTTTCTTTTTTTATTACTTGTGATAAGCATGATTTAAACAATTCTATATTAAATTAGAATAAATTAATAAGATGAAAATGTGTATAAAGAAAAAAATAATACAATGCTAATTTCATATTAAATTTCGAACAACCTTATTTCTTTTTAGATATGGATTTTTGCTACAGATCACTTATGTAAAATTGCATAAGAAATAAGTAATTTATTTGAATAGTTGGTATGTACAATATTATAAAACTTATATAAAAGCACTTATTTAGCTAATATGATATTAACCATAATAGTAAAATAAAAAAATATATTATTATGCATAATTTTTTTTAAGATGATTCGTAATTGATTTTGTAGTCGCAAAACTAAAGTTTGACCCTACTTATATTTAATATAGATTGTTTTCAAATCTTTGATTATGCATTGCTTGAGGCATTCTAAAGTTAGTTTGTAATATGCCTATTAAGAATTAATAATGACAATACTTTGTTTCTACTTATAATATCATGTATATGGTATTCTCTCACTAATATGATATCAAATATAATAACAAAATAAAAAATATATATTATTATGCATCAATTTTTAAAGAGGATTGATTATTGATTTTGTAATCACAAAATTAAAATTTATTGTGACACTCTTCTACCCCAATTAAATAAATAATAATATACAAAAATTTATGGAATAAAGTAAAATAAATAATACTTTTTTCCTCGATACTTTGTTAAAAACTTCACATAACTTTATTAATCATCTTCTTAAACGAGGAAAACATAAATTTTTTTTGAAACAAAACTAAACACAACCTCTTAATTTAAATAATAATAAATATAATCCAAATAGAAACTCAACAATGTCACAACTCTTAGCTAAAACTCTACCTCAATATCATACTATTAGAGTAAAATATCTTTTTATGGTTCTCCCTCTTCAAGCACACATTATTGTACCTGCTTTAATCCTACAAATGACGTTTAACTCAAACAAATATATAAATATAAGGAATAAGAATACATCTCATTCATAAACAACATATACAAGACATCAAAGGAGACACACACATTACAATGCCAACTTCATGCCTTTAGTCATCCTCAACATCATTGAAATAACAATTAGTATATTTCCATCTATCATTCATTATCATCCGATCACAATATACAATATAATTACATATTTAAAACTCATATAATGCATAATCCTAATTTTATATGTATATGATATTAATGTCTTCATCATCATCATCATCGAGAATGCTTAATAGCCTAAAAGAATAGAACAAGACCACCCCATTAAATAGAACAAGAGACTATAATTTATCTAATCTTATTTAATTTTGGAAATCTATACCATTATATATACCCTTTTAATAATGATCCTTATTTTGTATGAATCATTTAACTTTTTTAATTTTATTTATAAATTTAAATCACTTTTCTCTTTTAATTTTTTTTTCCTCAATTTTTATTTTTTATTTTTTATTTTATCTTCTTTAAATAACCACTCACATAACTATTTACTATATGATTTATTTATTTAAAAAATAGTTGTGCGGCCAACTTTTGAAATATCTCACGTTATCACATTAACCTGTCGAGATTCGGCTGGCCCCACCCGAGAAAGACCGAGAAACCAATGCGCAAACTGGGCTTCTCTCAGTCCAGTGGATTATCGCCACGTCATCCAAACAGCGCACATAGTTTTGATCGCACGTGAGCATTCCCGCAGGCGAGCCCGCCCCTGGTGCCAGGCTGTCACTGGCTAGAATCCAACGCAAAGAGATATTCGTTGATGAACGGTCAAGATTCCTTCTATCACGCTTTCTAAACTCTCAGCAACGCGCGCCCGCTTCCCTATTCCTTTCCGTTGCTCGACGTGGAGAAGAAGGGTGCATTGCGGCGAGGAAGGTGCTGTGTCCGTACGGCGCTTTCACGTTTCTTACGGAAACGCACGCACACGCGCTTTCCTTTTCATTTCCGCCGCATTGTCTTCTTCTTCTAGGTTTGTTTTCTCCTCTCGCTTGCTCTTGCTATTTCCAGATCTGGAATGTGTTTCGTTTAACCATTGCCAAGGGAGTGCGTGATTTCACCTTTATCTTGTGCCGGCTTTCAAGCATGTGTGCTTTTGTTACGATTTTAGAGGTTTTACTACTTCAATTAGCTGCTCAATTGGATCCGGATGCGTGTTAATTGCTGGCATTGTTGATTGTTTGCTGATTTTTTAGTTGGAATGTATACGCGCAAACGTGTTATTTTTTAGGATTTGCTTCATAATTGCTATCTGTGCCGTGTTATGAGAAATGCAGATTGTTGAGGAAAACTAAATGTTTATTTATTTATTTATTTTTAATTTTTTAATTTTATTTTTGACACTATTTTTTTATTTGAAAGGTTATGAATTTTGGGGGGTGTTCATGCATGTGAAATTATTGCTAGCTTTTTCGTTGACGTTGATGTTAAGGAGTTTGGCATGTTTTAAGATGGATGAAAACGACGCTGGTCGTTTCTGATAGCTGTAAGGGTGTTTTAGGGGTCCGATTCCTTTTAAAAAGACGCGGTGTGCCTTATCATTGTCTTGCAAGTTAGCAGCGTGCAATAGTGCTTAGAGAAACTACCACGTAAGCTTTGGCCTGAAGCAATGATAACTAGAGTCTTTTTGCAATGTGGCACTATAAGTCTATAACCAAATAAGCGTATTAAAAATGAATTGTTTAGTTATTCTTTTTGACGACTCGCCTTCCTAGCTTTTTCCCTACAAGAA